TCAAAACAATAAATTTATAATACAATTAAAACTATAATAAAAATGTAGTTAAAATATGAACAAATCCGAAAGTGAATTATCTTCCCAAAAATGATAGGTAAAATAACCAATTTAACGGGATTAATAACATTTTTATAACAAAAATACAAACTAAAAACAATAACAAAACTAAAAACAAAAAAAATACAATATGTCAATTAAATACCATAAAACAATTTGTCAAAATCGTTCTTTTAACAAAATTGAAAACAAAAATACATTTGTTATCAGAAACCTTAGATAACAAACAAAAAAACACAATTAAACATAATAATGTAAACAAGTCAATAATACATAATTTGCAAATTGATACTCCATCCAAACAATTTACTAAAGTATTTAGCACTCAAACATAGTACAACTTTTCATCTCAACATTTTAACTTAAAACTTTTCTCGCTAAAACATATGATGTTTGTGTGACATTGTGTTTTTTCCTTCGTTCCCACTTAATTTCTTTTTTTGCTACAATGCCGAACACCTCGGTACACGTTCCAAGACATGCAAATCAAGCACTTCCCACCAATTCAACAGTGTTGCATGTCTTGGTCTCTACCACTTTTTCCCCAAACACTACAAGTTTTCTCGAATATTTTTCATACATACAATACATAAGCTACAATTCCTCATTAAAAATAAAAACTCTCCTTTCAAATAATGTTATTGCAAAAAATATTGCCTCATTTTATTTACACTGTCGTTTCACTCTTAATCATAAATCCTTCCTTTTGCTTAATAAGGCATTTTCCAAATTTTTCATTCCAGTGTTTGTCTCTTTGGTTCTGGATATAAAACAAACAACAAACAAACTGTTCAGGTTTTCAGTCGTATTTCTCTTGTATCCTTGTTGCGAAGCTTAAAACACTTATATAAACCACTGAGAGAGTTACCCATGAATAAGCTCAGTAAAATGTATTATTAAAGATTTCCTTTAATATCTATTGTTTCGTATTTTTCTATTTTGTCTTTTATGAGATAAATTATGAAAATTTACTAATTTTCTTCAAAAGGTATTTTGAAAAAAAATGTTAAAAAACATTAAAATTATTTTTTGTCAACCAAAGAAATAAGTTAATTTGACTGTAATTATAAGTTTGATTAAAAAAGTAATTAATTTGATAATAAAAAACACAAAATTAATAAAAATTTAGATAATAATGATTAAATTTATATATTATTATAAATCAATATATATAAGCGATTTCGGCCGGGCTGCCTGCCCTAACCGTAACATCTATTTTTGGTTTTCAATATAGTTAAATAGAAATAAAAACAACTATTTTATTGTTAATTTGTTACCGTTTTCAATTGTCAGGGTTGAAAAATATTTGGAAAAATACAAAAAATGATAAAACAACTATATATTAAACAATTAATTTATTATAATTTATAGTAAATAATAAAAATATAAAAATAGACTCAAAATTAATGGAACAAAAAAATATGGCAGATGATCGTTTTTGAATTTTAGTTAAAAATCATAAGTAATGGATTAAATTATTACATAAAGGGACGCAAACATCATTAATTTGATGTTTGTGTATTAACCCTTCGAGGACGGGAAAAATCAAAATTTGTAAAAAAATAAAAATCTTAGTCAATTGTAATGTAAATGTGACCTTTTTTTCGTTAATTTTTTCAAAAAAAGCTAGACACCCTGGAACGACGGCTCTAGTATATTTTTATAGTAAATTGTTATAAATTATAGTAAAAAAAGTGAATTTTTTGTTAAAGTTGGGATGAACAAAGGTTCACTTTTTTGCTTGATCCTTTCGGAAACAAGTCACAGTTCAATCGAAAAGTCAGATCAAAAATTTATTGAGATGTCCACAACCAATTACGATAATAAAATTAATTATAAAA